TGTGTGTGTGTATATGTGTGTATGTGTGTGTGTATGTGTGTGTGTGTGTGTGTATATGTGTGTATGTGTGTGTGTGTATGTGTGTGTGTATGTGTGTGTGTGTGTGTCCTCATGCACAGTGTCACATGAGTGGAAGTCAGAGGACAGCGTGTAGTTCTCTCCCTTCTACCGTGTGCGTCCCCATGAACAACGCCAAGCTGGCTTGGTGACAAGTGTCTTTACCCGCTGGGCTCTCTCACTGGTCCTAACTAACATTTGATGGCTCCGGAGAGAACCCAAGTCCACATTAAGGAATAACTTGATGCCTCATGCTTCCCACCCATTTCTCTTAGCGTGGATGTTGAGAAAGGACCGGGAATCCTACAAGGTGGGGGCGGGCTTGTGTGATGGCTGATGCATCCCCTTCAGCTCTCTGAATTCGGTGTCTTTGCAGAGACGGTAAGTTCTTCCTCCCGGCGTCACCGAGGGGAGTTCTAAACCCACTGCAGTTGTTAGTGGCCTGACCCATCAGCCCATGAGAGGTGGCAGCTAGCCGTCACCACTGAAAGGAGGGAGAGCCAGAGCAGGGGACTGTCGTGATCTGACGCATGGCCCCAGGGACTCCCCGCTGGGGGCCTGTGCTGTCTACACCTGCCTGCCTGTCTCCAGAAGCCTTGCTTCCAAGGACTGGGTCTAGCCCTGCCTATTCACCAGGCGTCCCTGACCAGAGCTCCACACACCCTTCTGCCCTGGGGGCCCCTGGCCCTGGTAGACAAAGGCTGCAGGTGACTTCTGACGCACGGCAAGGACAGGCAGAGGTGGGCAAGGTTGCAGGTGCGCTTTAATTGCCAACAGCTGGCTCAGGTGGGACAGGTGGAGGAGGAGGAGGGGAGAGGTGGCCTTACTGCATGGGCTCACTGCTTGGAGCGCCCGACGTCAAGGCAGATGCCATAGTTGGTGTTGGTGATGGCGCCCAGGATGGTCTTGTCCCCCTCACAGGTCAGGCCCCGCTCACAGGGACACCTGTAGTAAACCCCGTAGACGGTCTGCAGAGATGGGGGGGGGGGGGGGGGAGGAGCGGACCATGGAGTCACAGGTGCAACATCTTGGTTATCTTTTGTTCCCTACCCGGCTGTGAACTGGCTGCCTGGTACTTCACAGTGTGCTCCTGACTGCCTCAGCAGTGGGGCCTGGGATCAGGCCTCCACCAACACTCTTACTTACTTGATAGCTCAGATGAGCCTCTATTTACCCACCTGTGGAATGGGAACACACACACACCACCACCACCACCACCAACAACAACAACAACAACCCGGGGCCAGTTGGATATTGGGGTGGGCTAAGCCTTTAACCCTGTAAACCTCCCTCCTCCTCCCTCCTCAACCTTCCATGTCCGGGTGGAGCCCGCCTCATCCCCACGCCCCCAGGGCACACACCTTGGGCGAGCACTCGCTGTTCTCCATGGCCTTGTGTGTGCAGCGGGCGATGCCCAGGATGGTGTCGTGCTGGCAGCACTTGCTCTTACACTGCATGCTGTTCAAGCAGATCTCACCGTCGTCCTGCGGGGACAACGTGTGAGCCCGAGTCCTTCCCCCACGCCCCTGCTCTAGAGCTCACCCCACCTCACCCCACCTCACCCCACAGCTCCCATCAGCACCTCCCTTGGTGAGGTATGTGTGAGGGGCTACCCGGGGGTCTGGGGGCCACTGTGCCCTGCTCCTGTCAGGACATAGAAGGTGGCAGAGAAGCTGTCCTGGGCTAGGAGTCCAGACCTATAGGTCCTACTGTTACTGGCTGCTCCCCTTGGTGCCTTGCACAGGTGTTCCCAAAGAAGGGAGAAGGGTCTCCCACATTTCCTTCCTCCCTCCTTCCCTCCCTCCCTCCCTCCTTCTCTCTCTCTCTCTCTCTCTCTCTCTCTCTCTCTCTCTCTCTCTCTCTCTCTTTCTTTCTTTCCTTTTGAGACAGGATCTCACAGCCCAGGCATTCCTAGAATTATGTAGCCCAGGCTAGCCTCAACCTGTGACCCTCTACCTCAGCCACCCCGGTGGTGGGATTACGGGCAAGCATCACCACATCTGGCTTCCCCCACTGCTGTGAGGGGCCTGTGAATGTGGAAGTCATCTCTATACTCCACATTTATTGGGCATGCGGGCACTAGCTTTTAATCCCAGCACAGGAGAGGCATGGGTAGTAAGTTCTCTCTGTAAGTTCAAGGCTAGCCTGGTCTACAGAGCGAGTTCCAGGAAAACCATTGCTACATAGTGAGATCCCGTCTCAAATAAACAAAAGACGTTACCCTTGCCTGACAGACATCTACACAGGTTCCTGGACCAGCCCACCTGCCAGTCTTCCCCTGGGGCTGCTAGCCACACAGTGCTTGTCCCACTGAGGTGTGGTGGGAAGGCATCACTAGCGCAGGCTTCCCCTGCCTTTGAGCTATGAAGCCCTGGGGAAGTGCTCACTTGGCTCCCTACCTCACGGTGAGGGCTAACTGCGCTGACATTCCTCTGGCACTTAGAACGTGTCTGACACATAGAAAGGTGTCATTGGAGGGCAGAGACTAGGGTCATTGTCATGAGCTTTCTTAGAAAGCTGTCAACTTTGAAGTCAGAGGACCTTCCCAGCCAGGGTTCCTGACTTAGGACTCTGGCTTTGGAGAGAGCATCCTCTCAGTCAGGGGGAGTTGAGAGCTGTCCCCCCACCTCTCCTGGGACGGCCTGGGGAAAGGCTCCTAATAGAGCCTAGAACTCAGGGAGAGAGACCCTGGCTGGTGGCCCCAGAGGTCAGGAGCCATGCTTACAAAATCCCCACAACAAGACTCTGAGAGCTCCCCAGAGACTCCTTACCAGGTTAACAAAAAGTCCCCGGGGTCCGGGAGCTGCATAGGCCACCGCAACAAGGGCCACAAGCAGAAGCACAAGGACCTTCTCCATGGTGTCTGGTACAGCTGGTGTGGGTGGCAGCTGGCAGATCAGATGGCAGAAGGCAAGAGCCAGCTGGGGTGGTGGGCCTTTAAAGGGCCCTATCTGCATGTGACCCGCCTTCTGCACACTGCAGGACCGGCCGGCCGGGAACAGCAGTACAGATGTGGCCTGTGTGCTGGGGGAGGGTCCTGATAAGATGGCTGGCAGAACTCGTAAGGGCCGTGTGTGTGTGTGTGTGTGTGTGTGTGTGTGTGTGTGTGTGTGTGTGTGTGTCCACACACAGGAATGTAGGTCATGTTATCACATTGTAGTTAAGACGGTAGACTCTGGGCTGAGTAGCTCAGTGGTAGAGTATTTGCCCACCCGTCACTCACAAATAAAGAAAAAAAAAAGGTAGGGGGAGGACCCTGGACGAGCAACTGCACCAGTTGCCAGCTGGGTGAGTTAGGTCAACTAACCATCCTGGTCCTGGCTCAGCCTTCTAATCTGTTAGCCAGGGGTAATCGCAAGAGGTGGGAGGGTGGACTGAGCGTTAATCTCCATGTGCTCCGTCTGTGTTACTACGAAACTACAGAAGTGCGTTTATATTATATATGGCCATGGGCATAGTGCTCCGAATGGGACTGTTATGTAGAGCTCTGGCAGTCTGAGCTGGTGACCTGAGCCCCCAGGCAAGGCTAGGGTGAGGCACCAGAGGGACCCCAGGTATTTGTGTCACCCGCCGCTGAGGGCCTGACCAAACTCAGGTGTGAGGGTCAGGCCATGAGTCTGAGACCCTAACCCTTAGACTTTCCTTCCGTGCTCATGGGGGATTCCAGAGTCAACCCTGGCTAGGGTGCGTGTATTCTCTGATGGGCAACCCTCTGCCCTGTCCCGGGAGCTGCCTCACGAGGGCGTCACGGCTCTGTAGGACTCCAGGAACTCAGTACCTGCAGGTGCAGCATGCCCTTCCTCCATCCCAGCTCCCAGGAGGACCTTGAGTTCAGGGCAGCCCGAGCCATGTAGCAAGATCCTATATTTAAAACAAAAACCTGAAATTAATAGGCCCCCTGAGATAAGGTTTTCAGTCACCCTGTCCTCTACCCAAGGTCACGTACAAGCGAGAGTACTCCCTACTCCTGGCTGGAAATGAGGAGGTCTCCGAGCCTGGCGGCGCAGGCTGGGAAGGGTCCAGCTGTCGGGAGTGTGCTCAGGTGTGCAAACAGAGAGGCTTTCCCTGAAGGTCTGTGCCACGAGCACCCCAAAGCCCAGGAGGTAGAAAGCTGCCCCCGGGGCCCCAGGTTGGGGTGCTTCTGGCCACAGCTTTGATCTTGACCAGCTTGACTTCAAATATCAGCACTTAGAAAGCCGTGACCTTGGGCGAACCACTGAAACTGGGTAAGCTCTCTGAGCCTGTTGCATTATGGGGCCAGAACTCAGGTTACCAGCTGGAGGAACCAGCCAAGAGACCCTCAGCACCAAGCAACAAACGCAGAGGGAACACTGACCAGGGAACGTCATCTTCCCCCTTTCAGGGACTTGTGTTCGAAGCCACCTACCCCTGATCCATTTGGTCCCTTCTGCTCTGGCTCTGACAGCTGCCCCAGGCCTCCGGGCCCTGGGCGATGAGGTGATCAGTCCTTTCCCCAAGTCCGGCCCAGGCCCTGCAGAAACATCAGGACACTGAAATATTGTCAGTTCAACTCCAGCTACTCACGGCCAGCTTCCTACAGGTGAAGCTTTGACCTTTACAAACAGCATGGCAAAGAGAAAGAACATCAGCAATTCTATGTGTTTCCTGACGCACACGAATTAAGGCCTTTTAAAAAGACTAAAACCCCCATCTCTTCCCTGATGTAGGCAGGGTTTTTCTCTGAACTTTCCTCTGAAACCAAGACAGATTTCACACAGTCAGAGGGGTCAGCTTCCCAGGCTGCTCCATGTTGGCAAGGAAGCCACAGATACTGGTGAGCAGATGTGGTGCACATCTGGAACCCCCGCATTCAGGAGGTGAAGGAAGGCAGGAAGGTAAGGGCTGTCCTTCTCTGCAGAGGGGGTTGAGGGTATCAGGGTTTACGAGAGACCGTGTTACTAAGAACAAAGTAAACAAAAGTATGTGAGCTGTGTGGTTCGTCGACCTGGCCAAGAGGAGACAAAACCACCTGTTCGTGCTGCCAGTGGGGACAGTGGCTGTGGCACAAGAGACACGCTAGAGGACACCAGGAGCCTTCCAACGTGTTAAAATCATTCTCACAAAAGTCAGTCAGGTGTGGCAGTGCACGCCTTTAGTGCCAGCACTTGGGAGGCAGAGGCAGGCTTGGCCCTGTGAGTTGGAGGCCAGCCTGGTCTACAATAGTGAGTTCCAGGACAGCCAGGGCTACATAGAAAAACCCTGTCTCAAAAAACAAACAAAGAAACCCAAATCCCAATATATATAACATATGTGTGTGTGTGTGTGTGTGTGTGTATAAAAAACACATATAGCATATGTGTGTGTATATATAATACATATGTATTACATTTAATTTTTTATGTATATGGTGTGTATGTATGTGGGCACAAATGCCAAGGATCACGTGGAGGTCAGAGGGCACCTTTCAGGAGTTGGTTCTCTCCTTCCATTGTGTGGGTCCCAGGAGCAAACTCAAGTCATCAGGTTTGGTAGCACAGTGCTGTCCCACAAGCCTAACTGTTCTAAATGGTATTATTATTATTATTATTATTATTATTATTATTATTACTATTTGGTTTTTCAAGACAGGGTTTCTCTGTGTAGTTTTGGTGCCTGTCCTGGATCTCACTCTGTAGACCAGGCTGGCCTCAAACTCACAGAGATCCGCCTGGCTCTGCCTCCTGAGTGCTGGGATTAAAGGTGTGAGCCACCACCACCCAGCACCTAAATGGTATTTTTATTTCTGTTGATTTTGAAAAGATTTAGTGTGTGTGTGTGTGTGTGTGTGTGTGTGTGTGTGTGTGTGCACGCGCGCACGCGCGCACACGTGCTTTCATGAGTCTATGTGCGTTGTATGTTTGCACAAGTCCACAGAGGCCGGAAGAGAGGTGGAATCCTTTGGAACTGGAGTTACAGGTAGTTGTGAAGCATCCTGGGGCTTTTTACTTGCAGTCCGTCCTAACTCTTTTTTTTCCCCCACAGGGTCTCACTGTGCAGTCCTGGGGTGACCTGGAATTTAATATATAGACCAGATTAGCTTCAAACTCAGAGATCTGCCTACCTCTGCCTCCTGAGCACTGGGGTTGAACAAATATAACACCACACCCAGTTTCCATCCTAAAACTTACTCTGGGTTATTGATAACTGTAAACGGAGGTGGAGCTTTTCTGTTCTGACCTCCTGGTCCCAAATAAAGACACGAAAGCTTATATTATAATGCAGGAATTGAAATCCACAGATATCGATAATGAATCTATTTATTAAGGGGTAACATGGGGTATCAACTCACTGATACAAGACAAGGCAAATCCATCGTAGAGTCCTGGAAGGCTGAGAGCCAGTTGCTTCCCACGGCCTGAGTCAGTCTCCACTGTTCAAGAACGTATGAGAGAGAAGGACCCTGCTTATGTGCTCAGGTCTTAAGGTAGCCAAGAGGCCACACCCTTGGAGCTAGTACCCAAATACCCACTACAATATTAATTACAAAATGCTTGGCCAACAGCTCAGGCTTATTACTAACTAGTTCTTACATTTAAATCAACCCATTTCTATTAATCTATGTATTGCCACCTGGCTCGTGGATTTACCTGTCCTCTAGCATCTTGCTTCTTAGGCATCTCACTAGAGTCTCTCCAACTCCACCCTTCTTCATCCCAGTTCTCAGTTTGATCTCCCTGCCTAACTTTATCCAGCCTTGCTATAGGCCAAACAGCTTTTTTGTTAGCCAATGAGAAGGATTATCCCACAGCAGATAACATCTGGAAAAATATATTTAGCTCTGTGTTTAAGATTGTGTCTTATAGCTGGGTAGGTAATACATGCTTTTAATCCTAACCCTTGGGAGGCAGAGACAGGAGAATCTCTGAGTTTGAGGACAAGTTTTAGGACATCCAGGGCTACACTGAGAAACACTGTCTCGGGGGTGGGGTGGGGAGGGGACTGAGTCTTAGATAACATAGTGACATATGGCAAAAGCAAGATTCTCCCTGATTCTGTCTTATACCTGGGGTGGAGGGCTGGGGTGGAATCCTGGTGAGGGGCCTGAGGCACGGTGGCCTCTGAGCCCTTCCTGGGTGCCCACCCCTTCGCCTTCTTCAGGGTCTGCCCCTCACCCACAGGCGCAGCCTCAATGAGCCACCTCTCTCCAGAGCCACCCAGATGAGGATGGACGTCTGACCCACAGCCACCTTCAAGCTGAGTTGCGGCCTATGTGGTAGCTGACCTCGCTTGACAACTTGACACACCTAGGAAGAAAGACTGTCGGTGGAAGCATTGCCTCCTCCGTCAGATTGGCCTCTGGACATTTCTGCAGTGTTTTCTTGATTGTTGGTTGGTGCATAAGAGCCGAGCCTGCTGTGAATGGTTCCATCCTGAGGCAGGTAGGCATGGGCTGTGTAAGAAAGATAGCTGCCCGGTGGTGGTGGCACAGGACTTTAATCCCAGCACTCGGGAGACAGAGGCAGGCAGATCTCTGTGAGTTCAAGGCCAGCCTGGTCTACAGAGCGAGATCCAGGACAGGCTCCAAATGTACACAGAGAAACCCTGTCTCGAAAAATCAAAAAGAAAAAAAAAAAAGAAAAGAAAAAGAAAGAAATATAGCCAAGGGACTGGAGGGATGGCTCTTGTGGCTAGTGCAGCCAGACCCAGGTTCAATCCCCGGCACAGACACGGTAGTTCATAATCCTCCCTAACTCCAGTTCCAGGGTATCTGAGACGTCTTCTGACCTCCAAGGCACGTACATGACACACATACATAAATTCGAACAAAACACTCATACACATGGAGTAAATAAGTCTAAAAAATTTAAAGAAAGAGAGGTTCCTCAGTTCGAGCCTGGGAGCACCAGCAAGCAGCGCTCCTCTGTGGTTTTTGTTTCCAGATCTTGCCTGGAGTTCCTGCCCTGGTTCC